ATTATGCTTGATAGTCTATTTATGCCATATATTAGCATAGTGCCTAAGGCACTTGACTGCTAACCAGAAGGCTGGCGGTTCAAACCCACTAGCCACTCCTCGGAAGGAAGGTTGGGCAATCCTACTTCTGTAGTGATACTGCCTTGGAAACCCAAGGTGGGGTCGCTATGAGTCCGGGCCGACTCGACGGCACATAACAACAACAGGGCCCTTAAATTTGACCCTAAATTTTCCTTGAGGAACTGTATAGTTTTACTTCCCAGTAGTCTTATATAAATCTGTCCTGCTTAACTCAGCCAAAGATGGCATCTGTTGCTTGCAATTAAGTGTTTTATTGAGATTTTGACCTTCTATTGCTTAACCTTCATTACCATAGAAGAGGGAAGAAAATCCATTTGGTAGCAGTCACTAGCAGTGAAGGGTTTTCAGTTTATCCCCAAATTCACAAGCCATTATTAAAAATACCACATTCAGCACATACAAGCCTTTGGTAAGGAGTCTTGGTGGCATAGTGGTTAAGTGCTCAGCTGCTAACTGAAAGGTCAGTAGTTTGAACCCACCAGCCACTCTGTGGGAGAAATATGTGGCAGTTTGTTTTTGTAAAGATTGCAGCCTTGAAAACCCTATGAGGCTGCTCTACTCTGTCTTGTAGGGTTTCTGTAAGTTGGAATTGATTCAGTGGCAACAAGTTTGGTTTTGGTTTGGAGCCTTTGATAAGTATTACAAAAATAAAATAATGTTAGGAATTTGCAAATGTGGTGGGATATTTTTGAGATATTAACTGAATTTATACCTGTCTGCTTATATTATACCCGTTCTACTATACCCAGCCCACTCCCAGGCAGTGGCATCCATGTTGTCAGAAAAAAGATAATACAGCAGAAAAGCTAGAGAAAATATTTTAAGAGTTTCAACTGAGCATAATGATAGTCTTTCTTACACTGATGCTAGGAAAGATTCCTGGGTTGAGTGTAGCAGAGACTTAGAGGGAAGGCAAGTGTGTCCACCTCCACCATCCCATGAATGAAATAGTAGAAGCCCAGGTAAGTGTAAGAGCAGGAGTGACTGTGCTCCATTCCTGAGAAGTGCCCATTGAGGCAGCAAAACCAGAATTCCCTATGCTCCCAGAGTGGCAATAGAGGCAAAGAGGAGAGAAGATGGTGCTATGTGTTGCGTGGCCTCATAGTGTTCTGACTCTTCCTTGGCCCAAGAAGCTCTGCTTTTTCTGTGTGCTCAAGAGTAACAAGAAGGTAGTAAAGGACTTCAGACAGTCCTATTGAGTTCCTGCTTGCCATACAATGGTATGGCAAACAAAAGAATGAACCTTGTGTACCTGAGAGGGCACAAAATTTGCAGAGTCATTATATAAATATGAGGGAGGATCCAGCTGCAAAAAGCCAGACACAGTGTTATGTGTTAGAAGATAGCATTTGGTGACCCAGGACTCAGATGCCACCTCCCTGTGTAAAAACGCTGTGGCACTCAACTGGTTGCCTTCTCCTTCAAATAAAATACAATCTTATGGAAAGAGAGGAGTACTTAGAATTGTGATGTGATTAAATTTCTTCCACTACGAAGATACACATATTCTAGTTGAAGTAGAAAATGAAAAACTCATTGCCATTGAGTAGATTCCTACTCATAGTGACCCTATAGGACAGAACAGAACTACCTCATAAGGTTTTCTAGGCTGTAATCTTGTTAGCAGCCAAGCACTCAATCACTGCACCACCACAGCTCGTGTAATTGAAGTACAGATGAATAAAAAAAGTTGTTTGCAAACATAAATCTCCCCTGCTTAAAAATAATTTTCATTGTAAAAATAACATCTTTTGAATTGACGTTTTATAATTAAAAGACAACTGGTTAAGTGCTTGACTGCTAACTGAAAGTTTGGTGGTTCAAACCCACCAGTTTCTCTGTGGGAAAAAGATATGGTGGTCTGCTTCTGTAAAGATTTACAGCTTTGGAAACTCTATGGAGCAGTTCTGCTCTGTCCTATAGGGTTGCTATGTGTGGTAATGGACTTAGTGCACAATGGATTTGATTTTGGGTTTATGTGCCAGAGTAACATTTTGTGTTTCTTTTATTTTCTTCAGAGGGTGCCAAAAGGACATTTCAAGCAAAAGGCATCTTGGCAGGAGACAGCAGAAGTTTTAAGCCTCATTTGACCTTCATGAAATTGTCAAAAGCACCATGGCTCCGTAAGAATGTGAGTTCACATTTTTATTGTAAGCCTTAAGCATGTCTGGGGCATGAGTGATGCTTGTAGTGGTTTTTGATGCCTTCGGACTATTTCTCCTGGGATTCCAAATCACTTAGGTTCCAGTTCCCCAGGATGGTGAGAGCCTCAGAATTCTCCGTAGAGGTTATTACAGCTGTCCCTTTCTTTGTCACTGTGGCTATTAGTTGTAAACTCTAACCCTCGATTACTGATGTTTCTTCTATTGCCGTAACTGCTCTGCGCCTTGAAAGCTTTGAGATGGTGCCAGGGTTTTGTTCTGCTGTTTGTTTTACTTGCTTGCAGCCTGCTGCCCTTAAAGCCTTCTCTACTGGCCTCCATATAGTGGTGCTGCTCCTGCACTGGGTTCTTCAAGGTTCTTCAAAGGTCCCCTTTTACTATAGCTTTGTCAAGCTCCTCAAAGACTACCTTGCTCTTTCAGCAGTTGCCTCCACTGAGGACTTGGAGCAAGTAAGTGTATCAGGGACTGGGCAAGAGGGTAACTCTCCCTCTAAGGCATACTCAAAAAATCCTACTCCGTGAGGATAGTCAACAATGACACAAGCCAAAGGACATGTCTTTTGACTTCTCTTATCTCAGAGTGACTTGCTGCCTGCCTGAGACACCCCTAACTTTCTCAATAGTTGAAAGCAATTTTGACTTTCTTGGATTCTGAGCATTTTCCCTGGAATCTTAAGGGTCCCCTTCCTTGTTTTTCCCCTTTTAGTCTAGGGGGTTTCTCATGCAAATTAAGACATCTAATGACCTTCTCTGATAATACCAAAATGTTGGAAATGGGCATTGAGATCAATATCTGCTCCCTGTTTACCATGACCCTTTGCTGCAGTTCAGACAGATTTGCATCTCTATAAATGGAGGCCATGTTTATTAGTAAATACTTTTTTTTTCCTGTCTTGACACATTTTGTATTTAATTTTGCTCAGAAAATGTTTTCAGTTCTTCAATACACGGGTTTGGATGATTCATTATCCTGTGGTTACTAGTTTTCTTCAAACTGTTGTAAAGAAGTCCTTAAAAGATATCTTGCACTTTTTTTTTTTTAAATAACTATGCAGTAAATTCAATAATAACTATATTAGGTACCATTCCAAAGTATGCTAGCTGGAAATAAGTTATGTGTATAAATAAATTTTGATATATGGGATGATAAACAACTTACAGAACTTATAGACTGACAGTTCACTTCTTTACTCATTATCTTTTTTGTTTTGCTTTCAAATGGATTGTCTTCTCCCAGTGGTTTCAAACTTAATCACAGAATGACTTATCAGTGTTGAAGGTAACATTTCAAAATGTTTCTTTGCCTTTCCAATATTAAATTTGAAATGAGAGCATCTAAGGACATTTATCAAAGAAATGTTTATTCTGGAATCTGTCTTTCAGACTGCATTTAAATGACTCCTTGGTAGTTGATTTCACAGAAATGATACCCTGCTTTATAAAGCCATAAGGCTCAGAAAGGTTGAAGGATTCAAATGAAGGCATCCTCTCCTTACTTCTTGGTCTCATGTTTTTTCCTCCTACTGGCCAACTGCAGTTCATGTACATTCATTTCCATATGTGAGGAACATCCTGGTCCAAGTCATATATATCCAACAAGTGTTTATTGAGGGCCTACTGTGTACCACGCATTTGTTGGGCATAGAAATCTGGTGAAAATAGGAAACATTCCCGCTGTTTGGTCCCTTCAAAATGTGTATAAAATGTCAGTCAGAGTATGTTTTGTTTATATCAGAATGATTAATCTATAGAAAATAAGGGTTAATCTTACTGTGTTTAAGGAAAGGAGCTCTGGGATGGGGCACAGTGGTTAAAGCATTTGGCTGCTAACCAGAAAGTTGGTGGTTTGAACCCACCAGCTGCTCCACAGGAGAAAGATTAGGAAGTTTGCTTCTGTAAAGTTTTACAGCCTTCAAAACCCTATGGGGCAGTTCTACTCTGTCCTGTGTGATCAATATGGACCAGAATCAGCTCAATGGTAATGGATTAATGGGTGTTTCAAAAAGCCAAGTAATTTTTTCCCTTTTTGGAATAACCCTGTTCCCGTTGACTACTATGATGTTCCATGTTTCTGAATGCTTTATTGAATGATCTTGACCATTGGGATCCATGAGTCAGCTAGTGTGCTTGTTAAAACTGCAGATTTCTGCCCTCTGCCCTCATATATGGAGTTGGGCCTGAGACCATGGCTTTTGATGCTCAATAAGTGCCTCACGTGATTCTGACTCAGATGATCTGTGCAGCAGTATACCCGGGCTTAAATATATCCAGCAGTTCCCTTATGCGGCAAATCATTGGTTCTACTGTAAAAGTTAAAGTCAGTATGAAAAGGTAACCTGCATAAAAGCAGATTTCATATATTTACTTCATTATGATTTGTGGTTTGCAGTGTTTATTGTTTGAAAGTATATGGTCCCTCAGTCTTTTCCTTCTTAAAATTTTTACCTTTCCAGTTATCTCTTCTCCTCTGTGAGCATCAGTTCTTTCTAGGTTTTTGCTCTGGGTCCACCTATTTACAAGGGATTGGCTGTTGATAAGCAGTAATGGAATGTGATGCTAGCTTTCAGTGATAATTATTTGGCTTGATAATGAAATAAAAGCAGACAGGGGAGAGGGATTGAGATTGGTGAAATGATACAGTTTTTCATTCACATATTAGAAGGTTTGTCTGATTTCAAAGTACTTTATTAATTTCTGTATTTAAAAAGTTATTTTAATTACAAAAGCACCCACCAGCCACTCCTCAGAAGGAAGATGGAGCAATCTACTTCTGTAGTGATACTGCCTCAGAAATCCAAGGAGGGGTCACTATGAGTCGAGTCCGACTCGATGGCACATAACAACAACAGCAACAACATGCTCACTATAAACAATTCAAATACACATAGACATATAGCATGAAAGATAGAATTTCTCCCTCATCACTACTTGGCTACCCATTTCCTCCCCATATAATTTCTGTGTAGGTAACCACTGCTAGTATATCCTTTCGGGAGCTCTGGTAGTGTGGTGCCTAAGGCACTTGACTGCTAACCAGAAGGCTGGCGCTTCAAACCCACCAGCCATTCCTCGGAAGGAAGATTGGGCAATCTACTTCTGTAGTGATACCGCCTCGGAAACCCAAGGAGGGGTCGCTATAAGTCAAGTCCGACTCGATGGCACATAACAACAACAACAACGGTATATCCTTCCAGACATTTTCCTATGTCCTAAATATATACACACACATACATATATCTATATACATACATATACATGTATATATGGGAGCTCTGGTGGCATAGTGCCTAAGGCATTTGACTGCTAACCAGAAAGCTGGTGGTTCAAACCCACCAGCCACTCCTTGGAAGGAAGGTTGGGCAATCTACATGTATATATACACACCTAAATATATATATATATATATATATATATATATATATATATACACACACACACACACATAGATGCATAGTTTCTTTAAAACAAAAATAGACTCTTACTCTATATGCTATTTTGACATTACAACTTTTAAAAAATATTATAAATTGCCTTTTAAAATAATGGTGCCAATTTCTGTTCCCAACTACTGTATAGGAGGAATGTTTGTTAGGACGTATTTGTGATAGAAGGACTATCAAAGATTATGAACTGTGGTTTTTTATCTGTCACCTATGCAACTCATATTAAAAAAATAAAACCTTAAAGTAATCATATCCATGACTAAGAAGTCCTTGCTGCTGAGACGATGTTAAAGAAATAATTCAAAAGAGGAAGTCCTTCATACATGCAAAGATGTTTACTGAAACATTTTGTGTAATATGGAAAATTTAGAAATAACTTCCACAACAGAAGGGAAATGTTTAAGTCAGTTATAGTAAGTTATATCATTAATCTAAGCATGTATCAAAATAGATAAATATGAGAAGTACAGAACAGTAAGTTAAATCTGGAACGTATTTATATTATAATTTTTGTTGTTATTTGGTGTTCACTCAGCTCTGACTCATGGTGACCTTATGTATAATGGAATGAAATGTTGCCTAGTCCCGTAACTGTCAATCCATCTCTACTTTACCAAACATGATGTCCTTTTCTAGTGATTGGTCTTTTCTGATTACTTTGGTCCAAAGTAAGCAGGTTGAAGTTTGACCACCCTCTCTTCTCAGAAGCATTCTGGTTGTACTTCTTCTAAGACTGATTTGTTTGTTCTAGCAGTCCACAGTCTACTCAGTATTCTTAGCATACTATAATTACAGTCGTATAAAAATAATTTCCTTAAATTATCCCTCTACAGCACCTTAACATGTGTCAGCTCATTTCAGAGATAAAAAGTGGGTTCTCATAATTACTCTTTTAGTCCATGTTTTTTCTGTTAGATCAGTGAATAGAGCTGGCTTTAATGTCACCGAGAACATAGTAAATCCACCTTGACATATTCAAGATTCATATTCTAATTGGTTGGTTGCTGGAGTTCTGAGGACAGTGGAGCCTTGGTGAAGTGGTAAGGAATGATTAGATGCCCTATGAATGTTCAAGGGTGAGGGAAAGTCACTGAATTCAGAAGACTGATGGTTCCCATTGTCTTGGGGAATGTTACTTTATTTTCTGGTATGGATAGATGGTGCACAGTGAGAGTGTCTAGAAAAGAGCTAAATGATATCTCCCACTAAGATGCTTTGATTTAAAGCTTCGTGACAGTTGGTATACCCCTTATGTTTAGATTTAACCTACTAGAAGATATTCTGGAAATCATTTTGTGTAGTGAGTAGATATTGGTGCCCTCCTATGATGCTGGTGGTATGATTTTAGTTATGAGCGTGGTGATTATTGGCAAAAGGGGATGTGCTGAGTAGAGAGTTCAGAATTATTATAGGCAAATTTTGAAGTAGTAAGATAGATAGATGGCCCATTCATTACTGTCTACAGGAGGCATAACAAAGTAGCAGTTTCAGAATTGATAATTTTTTTTTCACTTCCTAGTCATTGTC